GGATGACTTTATTTATTTATTTTCATTTTCTTATTATTTTTTAATCATTTTATTAGGGGCTCATACAACTCATCACAATCCATACATACATCCATTGTGTAAAGCACATTTGTACATTCATTGCCCTCATCATTCTCAAGTAGGGATGACTTTAGTCTCATCTTCAAACCTCCTCAGTTACGTGTTTATGGGGCTGACCTCAGGGGTAGCTCCTTCCTCTTTTCCATCAGCCTTTGGTCCCAACTGATGGAATCCCTTTCGGGCTTCCAGCCTCTCCACTTGCTAGAGTTTAGAGCAGTGCTTCTCAACCTTCCTAATGCCTCATGTTGTGGTGACCCCCCCAATCATAAAATTATTTTCATTGCTACTTCGTCGCTGTAATTTTGCCACTATTATGAATCGAGTGACCCATGTGAAAGGGTCATTCAACCCCCAAAGGGGTCATGACCCACAGGTTGAGAACCGTTGGTTTAGAGAGTTTACACAACTGTCCCTGTTGTCCTTGTGGATCTGAGTCCTGGTGGCATTACTCAAAAAATAAAGCTGGGGGGATGGTTTCTATGTTAGAATCTTAGTACCCTGGGGCCAGATTCTGCACTTGTGGGGGAATGGTTCCTATTTTAGAATTTCAGTACTGAGGGGCCAGATTCTACATGTGTAGAATCTGCATGGTGGAGGAACAGAGGCAATGTGGCTAGGCACCCAGGGAGTGAGATAAAGCTTTTTTTTTTTTTTAGAAAGCATTTTTAGGAGGTGAAGGAGTAAAACCTCTACATATACTTCTAGTGGGTTAGATGTTGGGCTGTTGATAATAAAGTTGGCAATTCAAGCCCCTTGCTGCTCTCCAGTAAAAAAGATGAAGCTGTCTACTCCCTTCAAGAATTACAGTCTCAGGAACCCTAGAGCTGCTCAGCTCTGTCCTAGAGGGTCACTATGAGTTGCAAGCAACTGGACGTCAGTGGGTTTTATGTTGTACTTTTGCCCAAGTTGTTCCAGTCAACCTGCCTGTCCCCACCCCTCTCTCTCCTTACTGGGTGCTCTAGCACCACACCCTCTCTTTTCTCTTTGGGGAAGACCCTGATCCCTTAAACCTCCCTGCCCCATCAGGAGGGCTCGTATTCCTTTCCACTTTTTTCACACTTTTTTATTTGACTCAATGGCAGTGAGTTTGAGGTTTCTAAAAATTATGATTTACATGGCAAAATATTTGCCAAATCAACAATATTTTTCATGTCCTTTATAATTATTTGCTTTCTCTAACTCAGCGGTTCTCAACCTGTGGGTGGCAACCCCTTTGGGGGCCAAACGGCCCTTTCACAGGGGTCATCCGAGTCATAACAGTAGCAAAATTACAGTTATGAAGTAACAACAAAAATAATGTTATGGGGGGGGGTTGTTACCACAACATGAGGAACTGTATTAAAGGGCCAAAGGTTGAGAACCACTGCTCTAACTCCTCTTACTGATCTCTGACACCTTTGTGCCCCAGAGATTTACTGGGTCAAGAGGGCACTCGCCCCTTTACAGTTTTGCCTTCTCTTTGTAATCCCAGCGATGGAGCCTTCATTGTGCCCTGGCGAAGCTCGGTGTGCTAAGCTGGGTGAAGAAACCCACGCTCAGAGAGGCTCATAGTCTGCCCGCAGGCACACAAGTTGGTCGCACTGCTGAGTTTTGTATCCAGGTGTGCATCAATGTGCATCCTCCCAGGAAATCCTCATGGTCACAGAGACCCGATTGCAGGGCTTAAGTCAGAAACAAAAGTACATACAGTTCTGAATTGAAGAGCCCAAGTGTTGGGTATTGCTTAACATGCGTGTGTGTGTGTGTGTGTGTGTTTATAGGTAGAGAATGAGGAGTGGACATACTGAGAGAGACTGGCTAAGAAAGGGAAGCGTTGTTGGATGGATAAGTGGCTAGGAAGGCGGTCCTTGGGAAATCCAATGACATGAGAGTTGGTATCAGTAGACCAGAGTCCACAAGTTGGGGTCAGGGTCAGTCATACTTACGAGAGGAATTGAACAGGAAGATAGCTGAGGATCCTGTGCCAAAGAGGCTGAAGGCCAGCTGACTGCACAGCCCTCCGAATTTGGGAGACTCGCACTCTTTTCTGATTCAGCCTGTCTGTCTCTTTCTCCTGAAGACATGTGGCTCTACCTGGCAGTTCTCGTGGGCCTGTATTACCTTCTGCGCTGGTACCGGGAGAGGCAGGTGGTGAGTCACCTGCGAGACAAGTATGTCTTCATCACGGGCTGCGACTCGGGCTTCGGGAACCAGCTGGCCAGGCAGCTTGACCTGCGAGGCTTGAGGGTGCTGGCTGGGTGTCTGACGGAGCAGGGGGCTGAGCAGCTGAGAGCCAAGACATCAGACAGACTGGAGACGGTGATCCTGGACGTCACCCAGACAGAGAGCATCACAGCAGCTGCTCAGTGGGTGAAGGACCGTGTGGGGGACAGAGGTACCTTCCAGATTCCTGTTGTTTGTGTCTCTTTGATTCTTGTTGTGTGTGACTGGGAGACCTTTCTTCTGCTGCCTGGAGAGATGCCTATGGCTGAATTCCTGTGCTTCAGGGTGAATCCGTACTTGTTCATCTAGATCACCACCCTGCCAGCCCGAACCCCTTCTCTTTCCCACTCTCTCTCCCATCTCAATCCTGGAGCTCGGTAGTTTTAGTGAGTTTGTGCTGATGAGAATTTGGTCTTTCAGAATTCACATATCTTCTCTCCTTTTCCCCTGAAGCTAAAGTTCTTGGTTTATTTCAGTCTGAGGCCCCGAGTTAGAGATCAAAGCTGACTTTCTGGTTAAAGTCTGAAAAACTGGAGGATTGAGTTGGAGTTTGAGGAGCCATGTTGGAGCCGGATTCAGTACTTTACCCCAGTCTTCCTGGTGCTCCAAAGTTACCTGTGGAAATAATAAGGTTAAGCCCTCTTTTCAGCTGAGGATACTGAAATTTCACAACTTGCTTTCCAGAACCTCAAACTCATTGCTGACAGCTTGTTTCTGACCAATAGTGACCTTACAAACCTGGTAGAACAGCCACCTAGGGTTTTCAAAGATAGATATCTTTACAGCAGTTGACTGATACATCTCTCTTCTGCAGAGTGGCTGGTAGGTTTTGAACTCCCAAGCTTTGGGTTATCACCCAAACACTTACCGGTGAACCACTGAGGCTCTTTAGAACTTGGCATGTTGCTTAAAGAAAACCAAACAAAACCCTATTAACTTTTTCCATCTGATTATAAATGGAAATCAAAATAACTTTGGGAAACCCAAAAAAGCATCCCGATAAAAAAAGGCCCATAACTTCACCCCTGAAAGATACCTACTATTCATATTGTGACAAGTAAGGAATTATATTTTGTACATAGTGCGTATCCTTTCCACTTATAAAATGATGAGCAATCTTAGAACACAATGAGAATTTCTTCAGAAACGAATGCCTACTGATTTGGAATTTCCTACTGCTATGAGTTGGAATCAACTCTCCAACATAAACAACACCCTCCCCCAGCACAGACAGCTGTGTTACTATAAGAGGAAGGCAGAAGTAGAGAGTAGGCTCAGCAGCACCTGATATGTTCTCAGGAAGGGAGAAGTTAGGTGGACACCCCATCAATCAGTCTCTCTACCAACAGGTGCGCTTGGCTGAAGAGAGACTGGCTAGGCTTGAACCAGTAACCTGCTGTGTGTGTGTGCTTCAGGGAGGTCAGACTTGCTGAATAGGCTTCCTTCCGGACAAAACATTCTGGATAAAACACAGGACATGAAGCCAGAACCAGGGCCAATAACAGTTATACAGACATTGCCTTAAATGGAAATAAAATTAAACCCGTTACACCTGTCAATGCGTTTCACCCCTGTCATAAAACAAGAGGTTGGGAGAACACACAGCTCTATTGAGTAGCCTTTCTTGGAGACAAGATGGTTCTTAGAATGAATCGCTGGTAGGGTCTTTCCTCTTGCTGGTGGCACACACTCCCTAATGCAGCTCTTTAAAGCTCTTGCTGTCTCTTAATAGCTGTTACTATTTGGGTAAAATTGACGAGGTAGGAGCCAGTAGAGGAATCCTGCTTGATCAGGAAGTTTTCTGTGAAGAGCTCACAATGTTGGAGCACCAAGTTCCTAAGATCGTCGGTTTACCTTCCTTCGTTTTCCATGGCATTCTTCAGTTTGTTCAGGTAATCCTATAGAAGCGTCTCCTGCTTGATGTACTAACGGGCCTTTTCCTAATATAGATGGAGAGTCTTCCAAGGTTTCACCCTGCTCTTTTATCTTCCCCTTTCACCTGGTTCTCCTCAGTGTTGCCCTGATGTAACTGAATTGCCTTGCTGCCATCACTGCAGTCTCTTTCCTGTTTTGCTTCATCCCTGCAGAAGCTCTAGTTAAAACAGAATACACCTGTTTGGAAGCAGTAGGGGTATGTGCGAAGATTCCTGTAGAAGCACGCTCAGCTTTTACATAATCTCCTTTCATTTCCCTCCTCTTTCAGTCCAGTGATCTCTATTCTGTTCTGTTTCTCTTCACCGTACACGTGTTTCCAGTTCTATTGCATACTCTTCATCAAGTTCAGAGGACTTCCCCTCATCATAAGGTTGGTCCTCAGCCTATGTCCTCCTGCTTGCTCCTTGTCAAATGAAGGCACTCCTCCTCTCCCAGGTCTTCCTGGGGCTGGGCTCGAACATCCTGGAGCAGTTTGCTCTGAGAATGCCCATAGTTGGGATTAGAAACAAGAGGATTGACATTCCTGGGAATCTGTAACCTTCAAACCATTTAACAGATTTTCTAGAACACTATAGTTCCCTGGTTTCTTCCCCATGCTGAATCCAATGTGGGAAGGGGAGGCTGAAGTTCATTTCCGAATGCATCCCTCATCACCAAGCTGCCAGATCCAGGTGACCACAAATGATATCTTTTTAATCTACCCATATATCAGTTGCCCGCAAGTGGAGTCCTTCCATCTCTCAAGACCAATACTTCCAAAGCCAGTAGCCTTCCCCTCCCCACCCCCTCACCCCCAAAATTCAGCTTAAGCCTGCTCTTGCTGCTCTGAACTCGGTTGTTAAATATGTCATCAGTGCGTATTCTGATTTTTTTTCCCCCTTTGGCGTGGTCCTCCCCTCACCACCTGAATTTTCCCTAGAAGTTTCCTGAAAGCTGGTTGGTTGGGGACCGAGGGAGATGTGGTGAGGGCGCTCATCTAGGAAGGAAAGGAGAGATGGTGGCATTTTCTGGGGCAGAGAAGGGCCTCCGGACACTGGGGTATGAAGTAAGCCTATCAGACTTCCCAGCACAGAGGGTGAACTTTGCTTCCCGATTGAGTGTTTCTCAGTAATGATGCAAGAGGTTTAAAGCCAGTCCTTTGATGTCCACTAGAGGACGGTTCCCCAGTGTCCCCCCACCCTGGGATTTCAGGTCTGTGGGGCTGTGCTAGGATATTGACTTTCTACTTTTTTCCGTTTCTCTTTTCTTTTTTTCTCTGTTCCTAAGTCTTGCTCTCTTCTTTCTCTTGGGAACTCACTAAATATGGTGAGTGAAATGTACACCTCCACCTACACTACCTACAATCTGAACATTAGGTGGAAGATAGGATGTCATTAATGTGTAGAAAATCTAAGCACTATTATCAGTGTTTCTAGACTAATGGACACACTCTATTTCTTTAATACCAGTGCTTACATTCATTAAATATATGGCATTACCCATTACCTACCAGGTATGGGCTGAACCGTGACCAATGAAAGGAAGAGGAAGACATAGTTACTACCTCCAACAGATTACAGGCTCTGCAAACCCCCATGCCCAGCACATACTTTGTGGTTATTAATTATGCCCCACACCCCCTATTCAACACCTCTTTGAATTTCTGCACCCAGTAGGAATGTGAATTTGGACTATAACTGTGTCCATACTGAGTATACCCTCACACTGTCTCTTCTCTAATTTCCCCCTGTTACCAGGTCTCTGGGGACTGGTGAATAATGCTGGCGTCTCAGTGCCCTTGGCACCAAATGAGTGGTTGACCAAACAGGACTTTATGAAGCTACTGAATGTGAACCTTTTGGGAGTGGTTGAGGTGACCCTGAGCCTGCTAGCCCTAGTGAGGAAGGCAAGGGGCCGCCTGGTCAATGTTGCCAGTGTCATGGGCAGGCTGACCGTTACTGGTGGAGGCTACTCCATCTCCAAGTATGGCATTGAGGCCTTCTCCGATTCCCTAAGGTATGGAACTCAGTTTGAGACCTCTCCCTAGCTCTCCTGTGCCTGTTCTTTTGTGGGAATGTTTTCATGGCTGTCTTAGGCTGAGCTCTCTAGAGAAGGCAAGTCAGTGAGAGAGCTAGTGAGATATTTATATCCACAAAGTGGCTCACACGGTTGTAGAAGTGGACAAATCCAGCCCAAGTCCAGGCAGGTTCAAGTCCATGGGTCAGATGTGAAACTGGAGATTCTCTTGAGTTGTGTAGCCTTGGACAATGATAAACCCTTGAGCAATAGGAAAAGTACAGGCTGGAACTGCAGAGGCAGATGAATCGAGGTCTGCAGGTCAGGGGGCAGGCTGCTGCCAGCTCCTAAGGTCAGGATGCAATTTGTCAGGCTGTTGGCACAAATCAAGAGAACCAGCAGTTGATGATGGGACCTAGACCCAGCAAAAAGCTCACAGGTGCTTCCGCAGTGTCCCCTTCCTTAGGAAGTGGATCAAATCACCAAAGAAAGTTCCTTCAAGCTGGTGACCTGAGTAAGGGGGTGTAGTCCCCTTTAATTCTTACAACGGATTGGCTACTCACAGCAGATGCCATTATGAAATTGATTGTATTGTATTAGGTTGCATCATGGGGGATTACTAAGCCTTAAATGCCAAACCACAGAGAATTCTGGCCCAGCCAAGTTGACACAAGACCAAACTACCACAAGGGGATTCATATAATCACTGCTGTAGGTCCCCTTCCTTGGAGATTGCTCATTTGCCTGAATTGGGTGACCTATCACAGGGAGCCACTTTTCAATGTTCTGAGTAGAAGGAGGATACCAGTCCCATAAATTTTAGTAAAACATGTCCCTGCCCTCAAGTAGGGCTCAGAGTTGAAAATTGTCTGAGACCAAATTGGAACACAGGTACTTTGTGTCCTAATTCGGAAGATTATTTACCGAGCATTTTTTAACCTGCAGACTCCCATAGCTGTTTACAGGACTATATCCTGAAACACTGTGTTATCTTCTCTGTAATACTTGAACCCATTAGCCCAGTCACCTGGTTGAGGGAAGGATCCTGAAGCTGGGTCTCAGGTAAAGATGGAAGAAGAGGGATCAGCCTGACAGCTGGGTCAAAAAGGGCTTCCAGAAATGGCTATCTGCCTGAGGGATTCACATTGACAGAGGCATAGGTTAAGGGTGAATGTTCTACCTGTACCATGGAACTGCCAGAGAGGAATCACGTAGCTGGGCCTGCTCAGGTACCTGAGAAGCTGGACAAAGCTGGGCTGGGGAGATTCTTTGGGCCCTAAAGAACCATGGGCATTATGTGCTCTTGGCCCTGGAAGCCCATAGAAAGAAGTAGAACAGAAGAGCTACTTGGTCTGTCAGCCTGTGGAGACCCCTCCATTGGCTGTGCTGAGGATGACTCTGAACCCCAGGAGGTAAGTCTGACGGCAGAGAAACACTCATTAGAATCCTGGTGCAAGAGTTCTGCTGAGAGACAACCTGGGCTTGACTCGGGCAGGACAAGGCAGGAAAGGGATAAAGAAAATGCAGGAGGTAAAATACACAAGGCCTCGTGATGCTTGCACATGGGGAAAATAAGAGTTGCCAGCACTTCTGTGATGTCTCGCCCTAGAAGAGGTAGGGTTGAGAATTACTGACCTTATAGTATAAAAAAATTGTTTTAATTACTTAAACTTTCTCAGAAGTACTGCCATGGTCCCTATTGCTCTCCTACTGGCCGCTTCCGTCCCCAACTCCTCAAGCTTCCAGCCGATTCCACCCAGTTTTTGACTACCTTTTGTCTATCTTTTTTTTTTTACCCCTTTCTTTCCCAGTTCATCTGAGGTCTTTTTCCTTATATTTGTCTGCTTTGCAGGAGGGAGCTCTCCTTCTTTGGGGTGAAAGTGGCTATCATTGAGCCTGGTGGGTTCAGGACTGGCATGACTTCCAAAGATGTTTATTCAAGAAACATCCTGGCAGTGTGGGACAAGGCCAATCCAGAAGTCAAGGAGGTTTATGGAGTGAAGTTCCTGGAAACCTGTGAGTGGGGTATGAATTGTGCAGAGAGAAGCAAACCCTTGTCTAGAAGACTGTGCCCTTCACCAGTTTTATCAGTCCCATGATCTGGACCTTGTAATAAGTCAATAAGTTCTCTTCCTCTCTGGCTCCTGTTTCTTCTCTGAACCCTCGTTGTTTTGAGAAGGAAACTGAAACCAGAGAGGAAAGAAACCCATCACAAATAAGTCAGCTGACAAATAAGAGAGGTCGTCTTCCCTTGCATAGATGATAGTGTTAACTTAGCCCTTCCTTCGTGCTGTCCAGGTGCTCTTAAGCTGAGACACAGCAGCTCAGTGTAGGACAACTGCTTTGGGGAAAGGCTGGGCCATTTCAATCTGGTAGGAGTAAGTTGGGAGATGTGACTTGGTGGCTATAGGAATTTTTAGGAACTTTTCTCCCAAAGCTGATCTCAGAGTGGGTGATAGGTTAGAGCATAATTTGGGTCCTTTTTCATTTTGGACAGATAAGAAGTTTCTTGGATACATGCCGAAATTGTACTCATCTAATCTGTCCTCGGTGACGGACTGCATGGAACATGCGCTGACCTCCTGCCATCCCCGCACCCGGTACTCAGCTGGCTGGGATGCCAAGCTCATCTACCTTCCCATGAGCTACATGCCCACTGCCCTCCTGGACACTATAATGTACTTGTACTCCCCAAAGCCTGCTAAGGCGGTGTGAGGACAGGACTAGGGTGCTTTGTGGACTGGATTGGTGTGCTGTGTGATGTGGGAGAGGTTGGGGATGAAATTAGGGCAGAGGAAGGGAACGCCCAATTTAGTGTTAACACCTGATCTGACCCCTGACTCTTTTGCAGGAAGATATTGGTACAAACAACCAAATTTCCAGCTTGAAAATGGGAGGCACAAATCTCTTGGAGTCTCCTGGGATCCCACTTTTATTTCCTTTTAAAAATCATTTCACTAGGCGCTCTTACAGATATTAATAATCCATAATTCAATTAGATCAGGCATAATTGTACAATTGCTGCCACCATCATTTTCAAAACATTTTCTTTCTTCTTGAACTCTTTGCAATCAGCTCCTCTTTATCTCTCCTCCCTTCCCCACCCTTATATTGTATATATTTGTGTGTGTGTGTGTATTTGCTGTATCTTACACCATCCAATGTATCCATTTATGTACAATTC